CCAGGCAGGAGCCAGGGCTGAAAAAGCCCTGGCCCTGGGCGAGGCAAGGCAGATGTCCTTTAGGCTGGGGACTACCAAGCGGTGCTGTTCAGAAGACTGCAAGGCTCTTTGGGGCACATAGGGGGAGAGATGGTCCCATAGGAGAGCCAGTTTGGTGTAGTGGTTAAGTGCGTGGACTCTAATCTGGGAGAACCGGGTTTGATTCCCCACTCCTCCACTTGCACCTGCTGATGTGACCTTGGGTCAGTCACAAGCTCTGGCACAGCTGTCCTTGAAAAAGAGCAGTTTGTGTCAGAGTTCTCTCAGCCCCACCCACCTCACAGGGTGTCTGTTGTGGGGAGGGGAAGGGAAAGGAGTTTGTAAGCCGCTCTGAGACTCCAAGTGAAGGGCGGGGTATAAATCCAATCTCTTCTTCTTCTCTTCTTCTTCTTCTAGGTCTCTGGCCACATAGGGCCTTAAAGGTTAGTACCATAACCTTGAATCTGATCCAGTACTCAACTGGCAGCCAATGCAGTTGGTCTAGCATGGGCGGAATGTGCGTCTGCACAGATGTCCCAGCCAGCAGGTGTGCCGCTGCATTTTATACCAGCTGAAGCTTCCGGATCAGACTCAAGGGTAGGTCCACAGAGAGCGAGTTGCATAATCTAACCTGGAAGTGACCATTGCGTGGATCGCAGTCGTGAGGTCAGGAACCACCTGCCTGACCAACCAAAGATGGTAAATGGCTGATCTGGCAGCACTGGGGACCGGGGCCTCCACAGGCAGGGAGGCATCCAGAATCACTGTTGGGGTCTGCATCAGTGGTGCCCCAACAAGGTCTGGGAGTCGGATTCCCGATCCTGTCCTGCCTATTGTGATGGCAGATGGTTATGGACTCTGTGGTCTGGAGATCAGCTATATTTCTGGGATAATTCCGGGATATCTCCAGGCCCCACCTAGGCCTATGTCATGTACACTCCCCCCTGGGCCAGAGGGCCAGAGAAGGGCCAGAGAAGTTTAGGAGTCAGAGGGTCAGACTGGGATCCTGAAGCCTTGTGGCTGAATCTTACTTTGCTCTGGAAGCTCCTGGCGTGACCGTGGCGGGCCAGTCATAGATCCTCACCTTCCTCACAGGGTTGTTGTGAGGATAAAACAGAGGAGCGGAGAAAGATATAAACTGCTCGGGATCCCCGCTGGGGAGAAAGGTGGGGTATAAGTGAAGTAAATGAATGAGAGAGTCTCGTTGTGCAGATTTCTTTATGGACGCCTCCCGGCATGGTCTGAGTCTGAAGTCACTCTTGCTACCCCCATGAAGTACAAAAGGTGGTTAAACGAAGTTTATTCCCCAGCAGCTGGGTTCTGCTTCCTCCTGACCCTTGATAATTCTGCTCCTGCAGCACTCTGATGACCTAACTTTTCCTCTTGGGAAAACAAATCCCTGATTCACTCAGAATCAACTTTTCTGAGCCCTGCGTGGTCGGCTTTGCTCAGCAATGATCCGCTTCTGCCATCTACTGGAGGGATTTGTCATGGGCCACCAGTTCTGTCCTGCCATGGTCACAGGTGCTTCTTTTTTGAGCAACAGGAGGGACTTTGCACCAGGGCACGCCACGTGCTGTTGCTAGCCCTCAGTCCTATCTGGGAGGAATCAGCTGGGACTCAGCCCAGGACCATGCTGAACTGTGTGGTGGAGAGTGCAGAGCGGAGAAAGGAGCAGTGCGTGAGAGAGACTTCTCCAGTGGGTGCCCATGACAGTCACCCGACACACATGCTTTTGGTCTTGGTGATGGGCTCTAGTGAGGAGGGCAAACACCATTTTGACCTGCAAGCCCAGTGGTGGCACAGGTTCTAGGCTCTCTGGAATCATGATGCGATCGAGATGACGGATTCTCTTTTCTCTGCAGCAAAACCAATGCCAGAATGGCCTTGGGGTGGACACATTTGAAACTAGTCCAAAGCAAGCCCTAACACTGGCGTCTCATCGGCCTCAGTCTTTCAAAGGCTTTGGGGGATGCTCATCAAAGGAGACATGTCGCTTCCCCAGGGCTGTAGAATCTCTTCTGCTGGGCCTGTTCCCGGCATAAACAGATGCAAAGCTAGGGGAGAAGGGATGAGTTTGGTTCCAGAAGGAGAGCAGCTGTGTTGTCACCTAAGGACCGGGGGGACTCCTGTGGCCTGTGAAGGGACAGGCTGTCATCAAAGTTATTGGCTGCTACTGACCTAAGGGAGATTTAAAAAAAAAAATTACGCAGTAGGGCCTAAAGTCCTGGCTGGAATGTTGCAATTCTGCACAGAACATAGATGAATTCAAGGGTTCATCTTGATCTACAGCAGTCTTTATGATTCTGTCAGCCCCAATTTTGAGAGCACCACAGGGATCAGAGCCTAGTATTAAACTGGCTGCCCCAGGAGATGAAGCCAAATGCAATAGTTCCTGCCCCACCTTGCAACCATACGTAGCCCTTTCATTTGAATGAACTGTTTTCTGAAAAGCTTGGCTGGCACAAAGGGAAGTATTTGCAGGCACCTGTTCTACATATTAGATTCCATGTCAAAAATGAAGTCAAATGAAGAGGAAGATCTATGTTTTATTTCAATTAACAGAAAAATAATTGGACCAAATAGTCCATTCAAAATTGACTACTTTCTTCTCAGCATATTTAGGGAATACAAGAGGGGGACCCGCGATACTTGCGGGGGGGGGGAAGAGCTCCGTCTCTTCCATCCCCCCCCTTGATCTCTCCGAGGCGGCGGCGGCGGCGAGGCCAGTCTTCCCCCGCCCACCTGGCCTGCCTGCCTGCCGGCGGCTCCGAAAAGGAGGAGGCGGTGGCGGCGTAGCCGGTCCTTCCCCTCCGCCCGCCCGCCCGGCTCCGAGGAGGAGGAGGCGGTGGCGCGGCGGCGAGGCCAGCTACAGAGCGTTCCTTGCGCATGCGCAGGGGACACTCTGTCACTTTCGGGGGGATTTAAACATCCCCCCGAAATTTTTTTCAACTTTTTGCGGTCCCCAGGTGTGTATATAGTTGGCCTGCCGGCCGTTTAGGTCTTTGTCTTGTTGTGTGCTAATAAAGCGTGCTATGCACCACGTCGTTGTCTGTCGTTCATCCATGCGGCTACCCACTACATAACATGGCCCACGTGTGCACAAACCTCCCCCGGCCCCCCAGCTACCCCCGGAGTGCTGATTTAGCGATCCGCACTCCGGGGGCCACTTCGCTATTAGATATATAGATGCTTCAATTAACAGGAAAACAATTGGACCAAATAACTCATCAACAATTGACAACTTTCTTCTTTTTCTTCTTTTTCTTCTTCTTCTTCATCTTCTTCTTCTTCTTCTTGAACGTATTCTGAACATACTCAGGAAATACATGATATTTGATACATGGACTGACATAATCAAGAAAACAATATTCAAAAAGCATAATTTGTTACGAAAGACAATGGTCTTTTGAGTAATAAGCCTCTGATTTGTCAGATGTAAAGAAACATATATCACGTCAAATCTAAGTGTTTACTTAACCTAACTTAAATGATAATGGGCAAGGATTCTTCATATCCTAAACAAAAGTATTCATTACTCATACGAGACTAAAATAATCTCTGACCCAGACATTGCAAGGTTTTGCTCTTAGGAACTACAGAATCATGAACTTTGTACCTATTATGTTGTCTGCTAGCAATATCAGACCTACAAGAGGAAAGCCTTCTATACAACAGGCCTTTCTAACATCCTAATAAAATGTTATTTAAGAATAAATCTATAAAAACCAGAGAAATATGAATAATCAAAAAAGGGGAAAATCTTTATAGTCCCATCTCTACTACACACCCTCATGCCCATGGGCACCATGTTGAGGAACCCTGATCTACCATGTCAGGTTTATTAATTAATTCCATCTCCCCAACTGTCTGCTGAAGCCCTCTTTTGAGGCTTTTTGTGTTTAAGGAATGCGACTTCAAGATCTGCGACAGAATGTCCTAGGAAACCAAACCTTCCCCATCACTGGCTATTAAAAGCTGCCATTTCCCCCTGCAGTTCTCTTGCACAGAGACTAGATGAGCTGTGATGTTTAGGCAAACGTCAGAAGCGCACTGTTGACAAGCAACGATGGCTCGTATCAAGTTGCAGAATGGGCAGGTGAAGGAACCCTGCGGAGAATGGCTGGCATGTTTCCCCCCCACCCCGAATCCTGTTGCTCAAGTAATTGTGCAACTGTTTTCATTATTACCTCGATCCTGTTCAGAATACCTTAAACTTGCTACACTTACCAGGTTGTTGAGGCATACTGCACATGCTCAGAAACATTCTGGTCTTCCAAAGACCCCCCCAAATCTGACACTTGTAATACAGGACTGCATAAAATGGGCATCCTCCTTAGGGCTGAAGTATTCATTACTCATACGAGACTAAAATCATCTCTGACCTGCAGGAGCGCACAGGAGCGGAGCTCCAGCAGTAAAGAGCCCAGGGTGCGGGCACATGCAACAAGCCCCACCCCCTGCTCTCAACAGCCCTCAGTCAGAGCAAGAAGCAGCCCAATGGTCGCCAAAGAGGGGGGGCACAATTGTCAGGCTGCTGTGTTTTTCATGGGATCCCCCACACACACACACTAAACACAACCACTTTAGCAAGGTGGTTGGCTTTACGAGGTTCCTCTCCCTCAGTTTGGAGGGTGGCAAGGTCTTTCCCTCTCTCTCTTCCCCCAGGAGCAAAACCAAGCGAGCTGTTTAAAATGGGTTTCTCCGGGGTCCTGTGCTGAAAGTTCAGTTTGAACTCTGACAAATGATAAGGCAGTAGAGCAAATTTAGAGTCCAGGGGCACCTTTAAGACCCACAAAGTTTTATTCAAGGTATGACCAGGCATTGCCCATCGCTCTCCACAAGATGGAACTGGAGAGAAAAGATCAGCCTTGGATTCTGTGCTCCACGGGAGGAGGAGGCGGAGGAGGAGAAACCTGCAAGTGTCTCCAGAGGCAGAGGGGCTCTGCAGAAACCGTCCAAAGGATCTTTTGAGACTGATCATGGCCAAGGTCCTCTGCTTCCTGGCCGTAGTCCTTTTGGAGCTGCAGCTGGCCACAGGGGCCATGGATTCCTGCTACGATACTCAAGGGCTTGCTCACCGCTGCATGCCCATCTTTGAGAATGCAGCGTTCGGGAAGCAAGTACAGGTGTCGAACACATGTGGCACCCCACCAGAGGATTACTGTCTCCAGATGGGCACCCGGGACTCCAGCACATTGTGCCACCGCTGCGATGCTGGCAACCCTTTGCTCCACCACAATGCCACCTATCTGACGGACTTCCACAGCCAGGAGGAGTCCACCTGGTGGCAGAGCCAGTCTATGGCCTTTGGCATCCAGCACCCCAGCTCAGTCAACATCACTCTCCATCTGGGTAAGTCTGGGCATTTGCGTTTGGGCTGGCTTTAGCCGTTCCATCTCGGGGATGGTGTTGAGGAGTACTAATCTCAGAGTCCTCTCTTATCATTTTGACAACTGGGAGGAAATCCTAAGGGTAGACTAACAAACCCAGTTTCCTTCCAAGGCAAAAACTGCCAGAGGTTTCAAATGCTTTTTCTAATAAACGGTTTATTTACCACAGCACAGGTTGAGTTGGTGGGAAATAAATGGGCGGTGCTAGTTTCTCTATAAAAGCTTCCCCATCTCTGAGAAGTGATTTCTGCTGGTCAGAAATCTCTTGGCACCCTTTGCTCCAGCTTGCCCCTGAGCTGGCTTTGCTGGGAGGGCGGGGTAAAAATCTAATGAAATAAATAAATAAATAAATAAATAAATAAATTCTCTTCTCTGCTGTTCAGGGTTCAGTTTTGCATGCCCTCCCCCCCTCCCCAGGGCAGGTGGTCTGTAAGAGATACTCCAGTGGATGAGAGTAGCCATCAGAGGACATGGATGAATACCCCAAGTGAGCATCTGAAGAAGATCAGCCCAGAGAAAGAGAGAGGGAACCACCAAGTGATAGAAGAACAACCATGTAATATAACCTAAATACTAGGTTCAGTAAAAACCATTAATAAATTCAGACCAAAAGCCTACCAGAACAAAATCATTCTAACTAATTTTCTGAACCAAAAAATAATGGGGCAAATATGCCTCACTTGGGACGGCGTTTTCTATTCTTGGTACCACCAAGAAGAAGGCCCTGCCAGTGAGGGAAGGCTAAACAAGGTCTATTTCATGGAGGATCGGTCTATCAATGGCTCCTAGCCATGGTGACTGAGGGGAACCTGCACATTCAGAGGCACTAGTCCTCTGAATCCCAGAGCCTGGAGGCAACATCAGGGGAAGGCCTTGGCCTCTATGCCCTGTTGTTGACCATCCAAAGGAACTGGCTGGCCACTGTGTGAGACAGGATGCTGGACTAGATGGACCCTCATTGGTCTGATCCAGCAGGACAATTCTTATGTCTGTATGTTCTTACCTTTCCTGAACTGCAATGGTACCCTCGTTTTGGAGAAGATAGTAATTGAGATATCCTGGTCCCAGAAAGGGTTGCCAACTTCAGGTGGTGGCTGGAGATCTTCTGGTCAACAGAGATCAGTTCCAATGGAGAAAATGGCTGCTTTGGAAGGTGGAGTGCATGGCATCATACCCCACTGAGACTCTTCCCTCCCCAAACCCCCACCCCCAGCTCTCCAGGTATTTCCCAACCCTATTCCTGAAGTCGGGTGATCTCGAATCTCAGTGCAAGAAGCCCATAAGTAGTCCCTATTCCTCCAACTGTGTGTGTCACATATGATTTTGCTTGTATCTTTGGTCGGGTCGCCAACTTTGGTTTGGGAAATGTTTGGAGATTTGGGGGGGGGGTGAAGTCTGAGGAGCTGAAGGACTTCAGCGGGGTATAAATGCCACAGAGTCCGCCCTCCAAAGGAGCTGGTTTCTCCAGGGGAACTGTCCTCTGTCATCTGGAGATCAGTTCTAATTCTGAGAGATCTCCAGGCCCCACCTAGAGGTTGGCAATTCTAATGACTGATTTTGTCCTCTGGTTAGCAACTCATTTTTAGCAGGGACCCTCTTTTGAGCTGTGCTGGGGACTGGCAGCGTTGTTATCGTACAATTCATCAAGATGCAAGCTAGGCAAAGGGTTCTAGAAACACTTTGTTTCCCAATGTGACCAGCTTTGGCCATTTGCTTCTGGTCTCGCAAACAGGACTAAGCGGCTGAGGGTGTGCAGGGGGAGAACTTGGCCAGAGCCTCGGCTGCTGCTCAGGCTGCAGAGAAGCAGAAGAGCCCTTTGCCTACGTCTCAGCTTGAGAGGAAGTGGCTGAGGGGCACACTGGTATTATGAGGAACTGGAGAGCTGCTTGCAAAAGCCACGTGCATGTTCAGTGCTGCAATCCAGTGCACACTTATAGGAAGTTGGTTTCATGAAATACAGGGCAGTGGGGGGCACTTACTTTCAGATAAACCGGGCCTGGAACTGGGCTGTGAGGCACACTCTGGGTGGTGGTTGTGTTTGTGGTTGAATCTGTCATTGATTGTTTAGCACAGTATTTGTGGGGTTCTAATCTGAGCTCTGGGTGGCCCAGGCTAGCCCAATCTCATCAGGTCTCAGAAGCTAAGCAGAGTCAGCCCTTGAGAGCACTTGGATGGGAGACCACCAAAGACGTCCAGGGTCACTACACAGAGGCAGGCAAGGGCATTGTGGCAAACCACCTCTGAAGGTCTTGGCTGCAACTTGATGGCAGTTCCCACCACCACCTCTAAGGGCTCCTGGGAAATTCCTGAGATCTTCTTTGCTTGTCCCTGGGCAACAGGGGAGGGTTGAATTAAAAAGGGGAGGGGTGGAGAGGGGTGTGGTTTGAGACTTCATTAGATGGGCAGGATCAAGGGTGTTTCGGAGGGAAGAGATTCAGAACAAGACCAATGGTTAAATTGCAAAGAATAATGTAATGGTTTTTGTGTAGCTATTATTTATAAATCACAACTAGAGAAAAAATATCAGCAAGGGTGCATGTACACTGAAGTGTATTTACTCTCAGAAATTCTCCTTTATAAATGTTGGTGTCGGGTTTGTTTTCTGAATATATGTCCGAATGGCTGAATATTTGCCAAGTATGTGATCTTTATATTTGATGTCTGAGGATCCTGGTTGCATGATAGTTGGCATATAATGGTTTTTAGTATTGATATTTATCATCAGCCAGCATTTGAAGAAAACATGTGGGGGTTTGAGTGGAATGAACAAATGTTCTGTATTTTATTTTTATATTTTATATATATTATATATCTACGTGCATATAATTTATCTACATTGTCAAGAAATGGGAACCCAGCTTTTTAACTTTTTTAGTCAATAGTGTGAGTCCCTCATTTTTTGAGTACAATTTGTTTGTATCACATGCATATTGTACAGTGTTTATTCCCAGCTTATCTGGTAGTTAAACCTAGAATATATTGGATGCAACCAGATTTTCCACTGGTGAAAAAGGGAAGAGAGGTCCATGTTGACCACAAAAATGTCTATGCTGGAGATTGTGGGACCTGCATGTGCAAAAACCTGGCGTGATGGGGGCTGTAATGAGGGGAGATGGGCATGACTGAATGAGAAAGTTGACTGAATCCAACCCAATGTATGGGTTAAATCTCACACAGTAATTTCTACTAACAGAAGTCATCTTACTACCTTCCCACAAGAGCATTCCAAAAAGAGAGTTTTGTGCGAACACGAGGTCTCTACCATGGGTGAGCAGAGTTACTCGGTAGAAGCCCTCCTACCCAAGAATGGATCTGCCTTCTTAAACATCGATGGTGATCTAAACAAGATAACACCCACTGACTGACAACTAAAGTTTCTATCCTGGAACTTGGGGGGATGGTGCAACAAGTTTTATGACTCAGATTTTTTAACATTTCCGCATGCCCACGATATACTCTGTCTACAGGAAACCTGGTTTCAGAATCATGACTTTCCAGCCATCCAAGGGCATAGGGTTTACTCTGTACCTGCAATTTGGTTGTTGTTCAGTCGCACAGTCGAGTCCGACTCTTCGCGGCCCCATGGACCAGATCACACCAGGCCTTCCTGTCTTCCGCCGTCCTCTGAAGGTTGCTCAATTTCATGTTAGTTGCATCGGTGACATTGTCTAACCATCTCATCCTTTGCTGTCCCCATCTTCTTTGACCTTCAGTCTTTCCCAGCATCAGGGTCTTCTCCAGTGAGTGCTCCCTTCTCATTTGGTGGCCAAAGTATTTGAGCTTCAGTTTCATTATCTGGCCTTCCAGGAAAGAGTCAGGGTTGATTTCTTTTAGGATTGACTGATTTGATCTTCTTGCAGTCCAAGGGACTCTCAAGTGTCTTCTCCAGCACCATAGTTCAAAAGATTCTATTCTTTGGTGCTCGGCCTTCCTTATAGTCCAACTCTCGCAGCCATACATGACTACTGGGAATACCATTGCTTTGACCATGTGGACTTTTGTTGATGACACTGTCTAACCATCTCATCCTTTGCCGTCCCCGTCTTCTTTGACCTTCAATCTTTCCCAGCATCAGGGTCTTCTCCAGTGAGTGCTCCCTTCTCATTTGGTGGCCAAAGTATTTGAGCTTCAGTTTCATTATCTGGCCTTCCAGGGAACAGTCAGGGTTGATTTCTTTGAGGATTGACTGATTTGTTCTTCTTGCAGTCCAAGGGACTCTCAAGAGTCTTCTCCAGCACCATAGTTCAAAAGAATCTATTCTTCGGCGCTCGGCCTTCCTTATAGTCCAACTCTCACAGCCATACATGACTACTGGGAATACCATTGCTTTGACCATGCGGACTTTTGTTGGCAGGGTGATGTCTCTACTTTTTATCATGCTGTTTAGGTTCGCCATCGCTTTCCTCCCAAGGAGCAGGCGTCTTTTAATTTCATGGCTGCAGTCACAGTCTGCGGTGATCTGGGATCCCAGGAACGTGAAGTCTGTCACTACTTCCACGACTTCCCCTTCTATTTGCCAAGGAGTGATGGGGCCGGATGCCATGATCTTAGTTTTTTTGATGTTGAGCTTCAAGCCCACTTTTGCGCTCTCCTCTTTTACTCTGAGCAAGAGGCTCTTTAGATCCTTTTCACTTTCAGCCATTAGAGTGGTATCATCTGCATATCTGAGGTTGTTGATCTTTTCCCCAGCAATCTTAATTCCCGCTTGTGATTCATCCAGGCCAGCATTTCGCATGATGTACTCTGCATATATATTAAATAAGCAAGGTGACAGTATACATCCTTGTCGTACTCCTTTTCCTATGCTGAACCAATCAGTTGTTCCGTATCCGGTTCTAACTGTCGCTTCTTGGCCCTTATACAGGTTTCTCAAGAGACATGTGAGGTGGTCTGGTACTCCCATCTCTTTAAGGACCTGCCATAGTTTGTTGTGATCCACACAGTCAAAGGCTTTAGCATAGT